CATGTGACTACGTATTAATGATACTAATAATTATTATACTTATAATGATGAATGGAAGGGGGGCTCCCCCCCCTCCAATTTTTAATTTAGTAGTGATAATAAGATAATACTCATCGTAAGAATAAATGGGGGGGGGGCTCCGCCCCCCCTCGACCCCCCCGCTTTTTATTAAGCCGAACACGCACGCGGTCGAATTCGATTCCACCAACCCTAAACACCAAACCTTTGAAAAAAAACAAACCCTAAGCCCTAAACTCTAAATTTTTGGGGCTCTTGAAAAGGCTACGAATACTGCAACTTGCAGCATTTGGAGTTCTTGAAAGGCTGCCAATGCTGCAAATTGCAGCATTTGCGGGCTTTCACAATTTTCAATGATTTTGATTTTTTTATCCTTGGCCTTGAACCCGCGAGCCCCAATCCTTGAAGCTTTCGCCATTTCCACAGGATTTTGATTTTTTTTGATCCTTATTTTGATTTTTGTTGATTCCCGGTTTTGATTTTTTTGTCCTTATTTGATTTTTTTTGATCCCTCACCCCGTTTAAGGCTCTGGGTTTGGAAGGGGTTATGTAAGAGTCTCCTGCCGTAGCTTGACTTAGAAGTTTGTGCCCTTGACCCATGAGAGTTGATACGGGCGCCTGAACCTCAAGAAGGTGTCAAACCACTTACGGGTACTGAAAAAGGAGCGTGGGGAGCTCCCCATGTAATGCGCAATATTGCAATTGTACTTCTTTGTTCCATCACTCCCCATTTAGCACCAGGAAGATCAGTGCAGATCCAGAGCTGCGTTGACAGGATTGGGTTCTGTACAGCCGCCTTGCCGATGTCGTCCAGGCGCCACCTTGTCTACGTTTGCAGCGAGCATGCTCGCCTTAATGACATGCAGTTGGCTGCCGTGAGAAGACTCCGTGAACCTACAAACCAAAGTTATTCCAAAAGCGCCTGAGGCTGAAACACCATGGCCGTCATGCAGCCCCTTGTCGAAGTATGGATTGACGCGCGCCTTTGAAAGCCCTTCAATTGATGCGGCCCAGGCATCAACGACACTCTGGCTGGTCAAGGCCGCATTCAACATGTCAGCCTGATCTCTGCCAAGCTCACGCCAGCTGTCTCAATTTGACAGGCTTTCCTGGCGCTTGCAGGCTGAGCTCAACGTCGCAGCTCACGGGCAGGCCATTTGTCGAGGGCTGCGGTTCCTGCTTGCGGTTTGCATTCGCAAGTGAAGGTGGTTCGCGCCGCCGGAGACCTTTGAAGGTGGGAGTGCCTGGTGCCCCAAGCCCCAGTATAGCACTGGAGTCTCAAAGGGCAGGAATTTTAGGCTTATTTGTGGAGAGTAGTTTGCAAGAAATGTGATGAATAGCAACTGCCATGACAACAATGAGCCCGCCATCGTAATTTAATCGCTAACGCGAGACCGCCTCGGTAAGTGTGGTCAAGGCGACAGCACGGTAGCAGCATTCTCGGAGCACGAACAGCACATGCTGCACTGTTTCAGCCATTTGCAAGTTTAGTGACCTTGGATTTCGGGTCCCTCACAAGCGGCACCTGTTGGCGAAGGGTGTCGTAAATCTTAAGAGTCTTTCGTAGGACAGTTCTGCTGTGCTTTCAAGGCTTACTTAGGATGATATAGTTTCCAGTCATTGGGGGTCGGTTTGTGGGGGGGGTTCCAAAATTTGAGGCGTTCACACACACTGGATTAAAGTTCCTTAACGTTGGTCATCAACCTTGGCAATCATGAGCTTAGTCTGCAAAAAGGCGCCTCTCCAACTAACGAGATCGATGATCTTGTCTTGCAAAGGTAATGTGCTGCAAAGCGATATTCAAGGCCCAAGGGTTTGTAACGCCCAGACAAAGCCTATTTGTAGAATTGTGTATTGGGAAAAGGGAATCTGTCCTTAATGTGGCTCATGTAAGGTTCTCAGATCCAAGCTTAGTGCAAGGAGATGTTTGCCTCCAAGATGATACAACACTTGCACAAAGAGATGGAACGAAGTTGCAGAAAGAGCATGGGACTTTCGACCATGCGGCAGACGAGAAGTTCAGACCGTTGCACAAGTAAGGGGAACCTCACTTTCTGGAAATACCCATCAGGTCCGTCATGCAATATGGGTTTACCTTTCCAGTCAAACTTGTTTTGCTGCCTTGAGGCAACTTGCCGAAGCACAGCTTGAAGTTGGAGCTGTGGAACGCCACCAAGCCGCCAGCTTAACAGATGCTTGCTTTTGCGAGGAGCTGATTGTCATACACAGGTAATAGTTTGTTGTTTCTATGTTGAAATACAGCTTTTGAACATGTCAAAAGGCATTAAAAGCCTTCTGCTGTGCATGAGGGTTGCTCTGACACGGTAAGCTGGCCGCATTCTTCAGTAGCGGCGCAGATTGTTGAGAACTACTCGGCTCGCAATCTGCATCTGCATCCACTATGGCTCTGCAAAGGTGTTTCGCCGAAGCACGAACTGCAGCTCGGAGTCAGAGAGCAATTTTTGTGGACAAGCTTGAAAGAGTCATTCCACTCCTGCGGATTGACTTCAAGGACATTCGCAACATGGTTGGTGGCCTGCCAGTTTCTGTCGATGCCCGGCTTTGCAAATCATGATCTCCGCGGCAAGCGAAACTGCAATCACTTGCCTGAAGTATTCCGAGGAGTCATCAGGGAAGGACTTGTGGTTGGCATTTTGGTACTTCTTTGGCAACATGGCCTGTCCCTCAGCTCTCCCCAAAAACGGACCGGATCTCTTGAAGGCCTGTGCATCAGGTATCCATCATCTTTGCAGTGCTGTTCTTCCTTGGATGGTGGCAGATGACAGAGGCGCGTCTCTTTACAATTTTCCGAACACAGCCTCGGAAAGTGCTCTGACTGCCGCTGGAAGATTGCGAGCGCCTGCCGCGAGTGACACAAGGCCACATACAACTACGAGCTGTTCACAGAAAGCTTGGAGCCTCACCGTCCACCTGGCCGAAGTTGTAGTGGGGTTCAGGCACTTGCAGTGGCTGCGCTGTCACATCGACATTTTGTCTCGCCTGGGCATGCTCGAGGATGTTTGGTTTGGCACTCCTGTTCCTGCGGTTTTGTGGCTTTAGTTCTTCCTATTTACCCAATTCAGAAGTCTTGCCAAGAATACAAGCAAAGGTTGGAGCTCACTGATGCTAGGCTCGCGCGGGGAAGCTCTTGCGGCTCTTGCATTTGTCTGGCATCTTGCCGGGTGCAGACTGGTGTGCAAGACATTTGGGGCTTGCCAGAGACCGCAATCCTCTGTCAGGAGTGTGGAACTTCCGCTTGAACTCCGAGTCAGACCGTGAGATCTGGACGCCCAGCTTCAGGGCCTTGCCATTCAGGAAGATAGCAAGAGCATTCTGAAGCTTCCCAGGAAGCAGATCATGGTCAGCCAGTTTCGAGCACAGTTCCGAGAGGAGAAGGAACAAGAGAAGGCCGAAATTCAGGGTTGTTGCACTTTCGCTGTCACCATCATTGGTCTTGCAGAAATGAATTTTCTAGAGCTTTCCTCTTTTACGGTCACCGCCGCCAGCCCCAGTACTAGCATCAGCACCAGCCCCGCCACCAGTGCAAGGCGTCTCTCATCCTCCAGTTATGAGCCAGCAACCGTAAATGTCTAAGCTTCAACAGCAGTGTGGCAGCATGCCTTCCGAATAATTTGCAATGGCAGGCCAGGACCCGAACGAGCATGGACTTCTATATCCTCAGGCTTCAGCGGTTCATAGGCTGGGCATGTTCAATGCAAGCCGAGTTTGCAGCTTTTGCTGATCTAAATAAGTAGGAACAGCTGTAGAATCACATCATCACTATCTGACATTCTTCCGGGTGGATGGCTGAGGGGATGACAGCTACTCTTGATTGAATCTTGAAAGGATGTCCAAGTAACATCTGAATCTGCAAATCTGCTGAGCAGTCTATGGCACAAGTTTGTAGTAAGGTGGCCGTACAGTATGTCTTTGGTGGTTGCGGGATTTCGTCGCCTTTGCAGGTTTCCTTGTAAACCTCAGCATCATCGCCGGCCTTTGGATTGCCATTTGGACGCTTGGCTGACTCAAATTGACAGCGCACATGACACCCTGCGACTGGGCTAAAGGAGGTACAAGCTGGAATTTTCGTTGACGTCTGTCCTTCACAGCGCTGAATGCAAGACTTCTGTGGATATACGGCGCTGAAGGTCACCGAAAGCATCTCACCACCAAATTCTGCTCATTCTGCAACCTGCCGCATCCACCCCAAGTGTTTTTGCAAGCTGAAAAGCCTGATTCTTGCCGTCGCTGCCTTTTGCTGCAGGATATGCATCAGGGACCGCACCCAGCTTGTGGACCGATGGGTTGGGCTACCCAAGAGAAGAAGCTAATGCATTCAAGCACCGTGAGCACGGGCCAACTGAGTGCCTGGGCCCTGCAGGAGAACCTTGCTGGTACTTTCGAGCAGTGCTGCAACGCTAAAGGAGGGGTACAGCAAAGCTGCGTAGCTGCCGTAAAAGCCGTGTTAAGCAGCCTGCAGGTTTTGGCGAGTGGCTTGGAAACAGTCTCGCGCCAATTCTCGCTGCTTGGATTGACAAATTTCACAGTTGTTGGATATCTTGGATTGCAGCAAGTACATCATATTTGCGACGTGGCATCCGTGCCATTTGCCTGCCCTCTTCCTTGGGTAGAGCATGCCGTACCGCGGGATATCTCGGCGGTGCTTGATTTGGACGTTTGCCGTTGAGGTCACGGGTGCCGGAGCTGTCCTCCCTCCCGTAACAGAGCTTCTGACACACTTGGAGGCTGGCAGACTATCCGAATCTGAATATCGATCCCAATATTTCAGAATCTGTGCTACAGAACTACCAACATGGGGCCCCGAATTATAATTTGTCTCTTTGTGCGAGGCTTGGCCGCAAGCATACCGGGAGCAGCTGAACATCTATCGCTTCTTCCTGGGCCAGGTAGCGGAGTGCATACGAGTATTGATGCTTTCATACCTGTTCAGATCATCACATGTAAGTTATCAAGTTCAGTTTATGAATAATTCTGCTAAGACATACTTGCATGATTGCCGGCCATTCACGCGTCGACAGCTGCCCCAACCTTACCAGCAAAAAGGCCTAAAGCAGAACAAGCATTCTGCTTGCAGTTCGTAGATCGTGTGCTGTACTTGTTCTTCCAAAGCTATGGGCCTTTGCGTAGAAGCCCTGCACTGGAGATTCTTACTGCCGGCCTCTACGCTGCCATCTGCTTGGAGTTGCTCTACGACTGGCCGATCTGGACACTGATTCCAATGGGAAGGGCAAGACTTCGTCAATTCAGTGTTCTTTAAGATCTGATAGATTTCCTAAATAGGCGGACCTTAATATAGACCCCAATATGCTATAACTATAATCGTTATTTATCCCTATTAAATGGACCCTTGAATTTCTCATCTACCTGAAGCCAGGACGAATGGGGACCTAGTTCTGGATCCTCAGGTGGAGCCCTGTGGCAGCTACCCCTGCAAGGCCAGTTGCTTACTGGGGGTTAGTAGGGAATAAGGGAATACAATACATCGAGATTATGTGTGGAATTGTAAGGATAAAACTTAGAGACAGTATGTGGTTTATACAGGGATTTTATTCCCTTATTCCCTATAACCGCAAGGAAAGGTTTGGGGATGTTTGTTTGACACAAGACAACCCGTGGAGGCTGACCATGCTGGAGCCGAACTGCTGTCTCTGGTTGTGACAGACGCTGGCTGCAATGCTATATGGGAGTTTCCCAAAGTTAGGAGTACCTTTTTTGGTAAGGACCCTGTAATCCGGATTATTGTATATTGGGGTCTACATTGGGGCCCTCCTATTCATGGAAACTACCATATGGTAATTTCCATAAATAGCGGAACCCCAATATGCTAATGATCCACTATGGGTAGCTCCCATATAATGTCATCCTTTTACTTGCTGTGAAGCAACCCTCAAATTGCAGCTTTGAGGAATACACTTGGATGATGGTGAAGCCCCTCGCAAAGGCGGCTACGGAAGTCATCAATTGGGAACCATGATCAACTGGGAACCCTGACCAGACGTGGCATGTGCTTCCATGCTTTCTGATGAAC